TTCTCATCATAAAGAGATTGGATTGCAATTCCCCATAACCATTTAAAGGTTTCACCATCATCACAGTCTTTCTTTTTGACATAAGGATGGATGTCATATATATCTCCCTCCAAGAACCGAGCCAATACTACACTGATGGCCGAATTGTCAGCACGGTAGACCCAACAATGCTCATACTGAGAAGGGGAATATCCCTTTAGGCTTTAGTGTTTACTTTCGAGAGTTCTTTTAGTGCATCAGTAGTTAACATTTTTAATGAAGTCTCTGAACTTCTGACTCTTCCTTTCCCTTCTTGGTGTTTCAAGGACATCATAGGCTTATGAGGCATACATGAGATCAAGCCTGATTCTCTTCAATAGTAATATCAATCTCCTTTTTCAGTGTGGTACCTCACACAAGGGAAGATAAGTCTCAGTTAGTAACAGGAGTCTCCAAGAGAATAATGATTCAAGGAAGGATTGCAAAATCAGTCTGACTGGTTCAGAAATTGTCAACAGCTGTGTAACCGTTTGAACGCCGTGAACGCGCGTTTGCATTCAAATGTGCATTTGAACGCGGATTACGCGTTCGCGTTCAAAATTGAACGGCGTTCAATTATTTTTTTATTTTTTATTTAAAAAATAAATATTTTAATGCCTAAAAATAATTTTTTTTTCCTGATTTTTTTTACGAGTTCTGTATAATGTGAGGTACATGCCTCTCAATTTTGTAGTCATTTTGCCAAGGAAAAACAAAATGAAAAATCGTCAAAGATGGCGGTGTCAAATCGTGTTCGCTCACAAATTTCAATTCTTTTTTTACTTTTTTTATTTTCTGTTTTCTGTTTATTTTTCCAATTTGGTAACGAATTTAAATGTAATGCCTAGGTAAATATTTTTTATTTTATTTTTCTACATAACATTTGTTTTTTCGAATTTTTTTTAGGTTTTTTTTTTTTTTTTTTTTTCCGCGCGCAATTGAACTCCGCGTTCGGTCCCGTTCATTGAACGCGCGTGCATTCCGTTCAATTTTTGAACGGAAAACCCACGTTCAATGAACGCGCGGTTTCACAGGTCAACAGTTCTCAAGGCCTAATCAAAGCTCAAAAGTTGTTCGTTGACCCAGACTCGTTCCGGACACGAAAAATTTTCATGTCCTCGGCAACGACGTCATTTTTGACGCACTTTTTCTAGTCGGACCTCTTCAGGCGACCAGAAAGCCAACAAGCTGTCACGCAGGGTTTTGGATAATGTTTGCAATAAATAAAATAAAATTAATTAAAGCAAATCCCTTCCTGTTGTATGTGTCCGGCTTCGAGCGAGTCCCTTCAATTGCGGCTTTCGTCGGTCCCCGGTCTTAGGAATCTTTGATTATGATTCGGAACAGCAATGATGATGCAAGTAACAAATCAAAATTAAACTGAGTAGACCATGTATGTGTCAAGTTTGTCAATTTCGAGGTTGAGAACTGTGACATGATCAGCAAATAACACAATCATCAAGCAATGCTAGAAGAGATAATCAAGACTGACTGACTCAAGGCAAAGACAAGATGAATAAGGGAAAAGTGAGAACTCATAATAGTCTCAGAAGGTACAAATGAACCACTAACTCGGTGTGAACCACAAAGACAGATAGTTCATCTCTCTTGAAACCAGTTGCGCTGATATACCGATACCGGAGAGCATCTTTACAGGCAATCCGATTGAGACTTGGTCAAGACAGTATCGTGAACTGAAAATGACTAGATTGTACTCAGGTGTTGAGATGAGTGTTGAGACTAGTCTGTATCGTTTGGGGAAAGCACTGTCTGACGGATGCAGATTTCTGGCACATATAAAAATGATTGAATACTTGATTGATCCTAATAGGAAATTTTCGAGTAACTTAGGTTACCGGGTGTTGATTGGTTCTGACTAAAGGTCTCGGATATCTCGGATAGCCAAGCGTTGATTGAACGATAACTGAATGTTGATTGAATGTTGACTGAATCCCGATTACATGCCTGCTTGGTTAACGAGTCATAGACCATTGATCGCTTAATGCAGGAACGTTGAAAAGACTGCAAGCTATAGAGTGACACTTGTCAACTAGGACGCCGACGGAGCTTTTGGAAGAATATTCGGACACCCCTGCGTTCATCTGAGCTTTGCTCTGGCTTGTTCAATAGTTCCCAGAAAAGAGTAGGTACTGTGCAGCTTGCCATCATATCCATAAAACTCAATATGTTTGCTTTCTCCCGCTGTTCTGACTGCAAATTCTCTCTGAGTTAATCTGTGTTTTTCCATGTCTTTGCACGCTTCTTCCTCCCATCCCTTCTTCTGGTCTCTGTTAGACCTAGACTTTATCATTAGAACCTCTTGGTCCTTCATGCCTACTTGCTCCTCCCTCGTCACTAACCCTCCTAGGACAGGAAGGTATGCTAGGGTAGTAGTGATTTCAACAGAACTCTGAGGAGGCGTCTGTCTTCAACCGGCTCTCTTGAATGTTCACTGCTGGTCATGAGGTTTCTTTTGACAAAATTCTCCGGCACTGATTCTAGTGGTGAGAGGTCCAAGGACCGACTAGCCCGACACTGATTCTAGTGGTCAGAGTTCTAAATATAGATGCAAGTTTCCTCGGGCCAACTTTAGCCCTTGAGTTCTAGGGCCGGAAGTAGCTGGGGTTTTCGAGTAAGCCACCAGTTTAGTTCAACAAACCCTCCTAAGTCAGAGCGTGTGTTTGGTCTTAATTCTGCCTCTTATCTCGAGTCGCTACTATAGTGACTTAGACAGAGAGGGGATCTCGGCATATTATGTGTTAATCTTTTGAGTTTTCCTTTGTGACTATACTCGATGTGCAGAAGCAGGGCCTGGTCCGTTGTGTGGTCGGATAAGTCTCCCGACTACAAACCGAGATTTGTCAATTGGCTAGCTTGTGCCGATTCTGAGTTCAAATGTGGTTCACCAACCTTCAGACCAATAATTCTGAATTCAGCAATAATACCTTCCCCTTCTTTAAGCCAAAGATTAATATAGGATTGAATCTCTCAACACACAAAAGTAGGATGCATGTACCCCCAGCGACCCGAATTTGAAGATTACGTATCTGTGCACACGCGTGTAAACTCGTTCATGCATACTCCGTTCTGAGTTTTTGTACAGTCTCATCAAAGCAGAAGACCGATGCGGGGTTTGCCTTCCCTTAGGTAGAGGGTTTTTGAACCTGTCAAGTTCTAACGGTCCGACTGTAACCAGAACCTGGTCCTTTCAGGTGCACACTCTTTTCTTGCTACTCACCTATAAGCTGGTATCAGAGCAAAGTCAATCAAAACCGAGTTTCCTCGCCCAACCTCTAGTCAAGAACATGCTTCCGACGGAGGACTTATTAGTCCCCGTCAAGTAGGTACTTGGCTAAAAGATGAGCAATCCTCTTCAGCATTACCCTTTGCCCATTCATTAGTCCAGGAGAGTGCTTGCGGTGAATCTTAACTACTTTACTTCTTCAGAGATTCACTCCCAACTCGCCCTGATGATCAAGAGAAGAGTCACCAAGCTTTCTCGATCAGAGGACATAGACAAAAGACCAACTGGACCGGTTATACTGTTGGAAACGGGGAATACCCAGCAGAATGCAAAAGGAAATAACAACGGTCAATGCTTTCACTTGAGGCGACAAGGCAATATGGAAAAAGGAAGTCTGCCCATTGGGGATTCACAATCGTTTTGTTTTTACGCTCTTGGCGTACCATTCTTACCAGTGGTCTTCCCTTTACCCCCTTGCCTTTGTTTACCCCATTCTAAAAGGAGGACAGCAAAGGGACACAACCAGACTCTATTAACACCTACTAGCGCAATAACCAATTAGTATCCTTAGGCCCCTACAAGGCTCAAAACGGCTCAACCGATCTGGTATACTTAGCTGTCGCTCGTTTTCCTGACTTCCCGGCCTGTACCCAACCACAATGTTATCTCATGAGGGGTGACTCGGGGCATGCTGTATTTTCGAGCGACGACATAAGTCCGTATTGCACGTCTCGTTACCCTGTTTGATTCCGATTGTCAATCCCTTGAACAGCAATCGTCCCCACTTTCTCACTTTAACCCCTACTTTATCTCATTTTAACTGATTATTCACAAATTCACTTTTGGTAAGCCCAGGAGACCTCCAACACGAACCAGGGAGAGGCAGGGGTTGTTCCCCACGCATTCAGAAAACGGGATCCGACTCGCCATCTTACGCCTGCTCCCTACTAAGAGCAGACACTTGCTATCGTCTCAGAACGTTTACCAATTTTTTTTTTTGTTCACTTGTTTAAGGTCATGCGAACAAGCCCCGTGCAGTTCGCGGACCCTCAAACTCGCCGACTCAAACCCAAGTGAGCTACTGATTGCTGGAATTAGCAAGGTGACGTCAACAATATGGTTGCATGTCATCCTCTTCCCGCACCCTGGAGTCGCTATCCAGATCACGTTCTCCCTTAAGCGACACGTGTTACGTGAGGGTAATGTCTTTCTCGCCCCCTCCCTGACTGCAACCACCTAGTCGTCTCTCTCCCATCCCTTTCTTATTTGCACCGCTAGTACTCAGCGTCCCAATCGCTCATGCAGTCAGTACTCACTTCACAAACCCCGGGGAACCTGATCACGGTGCGGCGATGGCCTTATTTAAAGACTCACTCTTCGTAATGCGTTCACTCGCCCTGCTCGCGCTTTGCTCCACGCTTCCCTAAACCCGGTCACCCTTCTCAGTTTTGAGGGAGGTACAGCACATAGAGGGCCCTGAACAATATGCGATCTGTTGACATCAACAGTGTGAGCAAACGAGCGCGAGTGTTAACATCAACCGCGCCACATCTGCATGAGTTGCCCAGTACTCGTCGGCGAGGGAGATCTCCCGCTCTCTGCCCTCGTAAGTTGACCCTCTCTCTCTTCCGCCTAACGATGTTGGTCCCTTCGATGTCATGAACTGGCCTCTGGGCCACTCTCTACCGGCTCTGCTGGCGGGTGGCCCTTTCGCCACTCGTCTAGTCCTCGCTAGGACTGGGTCTCCGCGTTCAGGTCACTTGCGTCACTCTCCGCCTCAGTGTCCCGGTCCAGGTGTTCCTGATCTCGTTCCACCGTGTCCGTTGATGTCTCCGCCTCCAAGTAAGTGATCTTCACCTTGATCTCGTCCGTGACCCCATCTCTCCTACACCTCCTCTCAGCAGGGTCTTTGGCCTCCGTAATCGCTAACTGCAGACCCTGGTCTGCCCTCATTTCCTCCTCCTTTCCCCCTTCAACGTTTACCTTTAGCTTTGCCTCTCGTCGGCTATGACTGTAGTCCAGGATGGCGGTCACAGTCGGCCCTTCCCCAATCCGCTCCCACTTCCAGAGGGACCGGAGGCATCTCGGCTTATAGCCATATAGTCCGTTGCTCTGCACCATGGCGAGCCCTTCCGAACAGACAGCAAAAATCAGGCCACCCAATTTCAGAATAATCAGGCCTTGACACTTAACGCACACACGCGCAAGCACGACTGTCTCATGCTCACACTGCAACACAGCCCTCCTATTAATCTGCCCGCGACCAGCGAGGCGAGAGTACTCATGCACGGGTAGCCAGAGGCTCGTCTCCCTCTCTCTTTTATAGGACCGACGCTCACCACTGTCGGTACCAGGCCAGTCCAGTCCAGTCCCGTCCTGCCCGGTACCACTGTCGGTACCAGGCCAGTCCAGTCCAGTCCAGTCAGTCCGCTGGGGGTATATCCCAGCTGTTGTCTGTTTTTCATTATTCTTCATTTTTGGCACTGTTGGAGTATGTGCGGTGTTAAGTCTGCATCGGAGCTGCGCTTTCCCTTCCAGCTCCATCTGCACTTCCTCCTTCCTTAACCCCTTCTTCTCCATCCTGTCGGACCGCCATCCCGGCGGGTCCGGCACACTGGTATCAGAGTGGGAACGGTCCCCGCTCCAACCCGCCCGGCCCCCCCCGCACTTAGCAGCGGAAAACGGTGTAATCCCCAGAGCGGGATTTTTTGGGCATTTCAGGGCTTTTTCGGAAAAAAAGCAACGAAAAACGGTGTTCGACACAACGCCGTGGAGAAACGACACGTGGCGAAAAAGGAGAGGGCGCATGAGGACGCATGCGTCAAGGCCAAAACCGCTGCACGCGCGCGCGTCACGCGCCCACGCTGCCCCGCCCCGCCCCGCTCCCGGATATATATTATCAAGATCAGGGAGTGCTGCAGCTGTCAGGGTTTGAACCTGGCCAGCTGCTACTCATGCGCGTGCGTGGCTAGTGCCTTATTGCACTCGCCACAGCCACAGTACGGATTGATATTGTGGCTGGTTGTTGTTGAAGAGGTGGCACAACAGCTATTTACCGCCCCCCCCCCCCCCCCCCCCGAGCAGCGAGCACTGTGCTGGAGAGCTATTGGTCCCCCCCCCCCCCCCCCGGCCGTGGCCGCTGCTACCTGTGGACGTGGCAATCTGTTGTGCCATGTGAACATCTGCTGAAGACCCCCCCGGCTAGGGGGCTGCACCACATCCATATATATATATATATATATATGGATGTTTTGTTGGCTTGTAATGGGGTGTGAACCGACAGTCTTTAGAGTTTTTCATCTGGTGTGGGTGAGTGATAGGCTACTTTGATTAAGGTTAAGGTAGATTATCACTTACAGTGTAATCAGTGAGGGGATTCTGCAGACTGTTGAGGGTTCAGCCTCCTGATGAGTCGGTGAAACTCCAATGAAACAGTTTGTCACAGCCCCTCGTTTGTTGTCCTTTTCTCTCTCCTTGCCAACGGTTTACCGGGCAGTTCTTTTTATGACGATATATATATATATATATATAGATATAGATATAGATATAGATATATATTACTATTTCATTGTTGTAACTGCAGTTTGGCAACAGTTCAAGATTCCCCCCTGGCAAGGGGGCCGTGTGACTGTGGAAGAAGGGTGGCTGATCAAGATCTCAGCCAACCCTAGATCATCATCATCTTTTTACTACTGCGGCATCACACCAGTAGCATCTTGAAGGCCTGTGGATCTCGGTAGAACTTTGCTCTTGGCCACCCAAGAGCCTGGTATCACCATCCTACCACTAACCCACTCTCCCCCAACCTCTTTTCTCTTTTCCCCCCCATCATCTAATCATTTTTTCTCCCCCCTACCACTACTCTCCACTCCTACCCTTCTCTCCACCCATCCTCTACAACATTTTTCTCTCCTCTCCTCCCCACTCACTATCTCCCATTAATCTCATCTACCCCTCTCTACCTTTTCTGCATCCTCCTCTCCCATTCTACCACCCTCCTCTCCCTCTTTCCTCCCCCAAGTACAACCCCATCATCTCCCCCATCTCCCACTTTACTTTTTCTGTCTCTTCTCACTTATTTCTCTCCTTCATCATCACCTTTCCTTCCCCCCCCCACCCAACTTCGAATTTTTCTGTTTTTCTTCTTTTCTCTTTTTCTTTGACTTAAAATTTTCCTTTTCCTCCAAAAAATCGAATTATCTTATTCCCTACTTCTTTTATCATTTTTCTGATTTATTTTTATTTTTATTTTATTTATTCTGAAAATTCGAATTTCTCTCCACCACTCCAGCGACGGAGACGTGGTGGTTCGTTCTCCTCCGCGGGACAGGCTCAGCACTCCCCCTCCGCAGTGGTGAGTGCTGCTGCTGCTCAGACCATACCGTCGTCATTGGGCCCCGCCACTCTCGCCGCCCCTGCCGCTTCGGTCACTGCTGCATGTGCTGTCGCCCAGATACCGGTATCTGGCCAGGCAGTTTCATCTACCCACCCCAGTGCTGCTTTCCAGCTTCCTGCACCGGTCGCGGCACTACCGCCCGGAGTTCTTCCTCCTCCCGCTAGGGTACTCTCTCCGCTCCCTCCACCTCCGACCCCGCGCACCCAGCGGGTGGCTACCGTACAGGCCACCGTGGCGCAGCTCCAGGCGGAGATTCTCTCCCTAAGACAGCCTCACCCATCACAGGCTGCTCACCCTTCTTCTTCTTATACCGCCCCTCGCACCTCTGTCTTGTCGGCTCGTTTCCCTCGACCGGCTCCCCCCCCTCTACCCTACTACCTCGCTCTCCGTCACAGTTGGCTGCGACTGTTGCCTCCACGTCTGCTGGACCTTCCACCAGCAGCCCCGGCTCTCAACCTGCTCACCAAAGGTTAAAAGGAACCCCCACTATTCAGCCCCCAAGGTAACACCCCCAACCCTGAAAAGTGCATTGGAGATCATTTTTTTCAGTTTTTTTTTGTTTTATTTTTTTTGCCCTGTTTTATTTTTGGTTAAGGTCTGTGTGTGCCAAGTTTGGTGTTTGTAGGGGTCTTGGAGTTCACTGTTTTGGCCAGCCCATAAAAAATCCTGAAAATCATGAAAACTGAAAAGAGTGAATTTCGCATGCAAACGCACTTTTGCCTTGGGGTTTAAGGCCCCTTTGATTAATTTTTTTTTATTTTTTTTTTACTGTTGGTTTATTTGGTGTCCACTCTATGGACTGGTGACAAGTCTGGCGTAAAAGGTATGGGACGTTTGTTATAATGACCCTGAAAAAATCCTGAAAATTTAGGGCTCTGTTAACCTCTTCTCAGCCTGCTACCACTTCCACGTCTGCACCGGCCTCGACATTTGCCGCTGCAGTGCAGGCTCCTCGACCTCTCTCTCCTCTCCGTCAGCACAACGGTCCCACCCTTGTGCGTCTGTCGGACATACCCGACTTCGATGGTACTATGCGTGTGCCGCACTGGTTGCAGACTGCCACACGCGCGCTGACACTGACTAACACTGGTCTGGAGTTGTGGTGCTTCGTGCTCGCAACTAAATTGCGAGGCAGCGCGTTCTCCGCATGGGAGAACTATTATACCCATCGTACTCGCTCAGGTGAGGCTCTCACTCTCGCGGATTTCACGGCGTTCCTCCATGACCTCTACGACACTCTCCACGATGCAACCGACGCCCTAGATCGGGTCACCCAGACGCAGTGGCACGGGTCCTCCGCACCAGCCGATCTTGAGCGGCACATTAGAGTGTTTCAGGACGCCCGCCTCATCTGCGATGAGGCACTCCTACCTGAGGTCCTTTTGACCAACAGGTTCGTAGTCAGTCTTCCGGTTAACTACTGCATCGAGCTCTGGCGACAGAGCTTCACCTCCTCCGAGCAGGCCTACAAGGCCGCTCGACAGTACCAGAAGATGCGGAGTCGCTTTTCCGACGCCCCATCTTCTTCACGATTCACCGCCACCGCCACCTAGTCACGCGGCACCACGAGCGGTCGATCCTCCTTCGTTGGTCTGTTTTGCCGACCAGCTCGACCTGGAGCGCCATTCTCTCGACCCTACAGTTCTTTGGAGTACGGCGAGGATGCCTCAGCAGAGCTTGACCCTACCTTTGGGAACGCCCCCGAGGACATCAAGCTCCGAGACGTCATCCAGTATCACTTGGATGACGACACTATTCTCGTGGCCGAGCGCCTGCAGATGGCCATGTCTGCCATGGGTCGTGCGTGCAGTCGAGTTGCACAGGCTGGTGCCCGCACACCCACGGTTCCTCGGATAGACCTCCCGTAGGGTTTTGTCCCTCATCACGGAGCTCTATCCCCTGAGGAACGTGCTGCCCTCGAGGCCCGTCGCGGCTGCCTTCGTTGCCGCCTGGATGGACACACCTCCTCACGGTGTCCATACCATACCGCCCTCGATCGACACTATGCTAACATCTCTCGTCAGCGTCGATCTCAGTCCCCCCCCCGCCCCGCCCAGCCAGCCCCACCCACCTAGCTACGGTGTAGTGTGCCACTGAGGCCTCGCACGTAGCCGGCTTCCCGACCACCGAGTCGTGGTTTGCCTCTTTGGCTACCCCACCAGAGGATCCTCAGGACACGACAGACACAGTTCCCTCTGCCTCGTCGTCTGTCGAGGTACCGTCTGCCTCACAACAGACCGCCGCATCTAGTGCTTCCCCTCCGAGACTTCCGACGCGTCACGCCATTCGCACAGCGCGTTGTAACGCTCAGCTGGCGACTCGTGATGACGTTGCGTCATCTCTCCTAGACTTGAGCATTCTTCAGGCTCGTCAGGAGTGACTCACAAGAGACGTCAACGTCCTGCGTTGTCTTCTCACTCTGCTTTCTGACCCTGATCACACCCTACCCATTATCCCTATTCGCCTAGGGACATCTACGAGGGTGTACCGTGCTTTATGGAACTCTGGCTCGCAGGGAGATTTCGTTCACCCTCGAGTGGTTGAGGAAGCTCGCCTAGCTACCTCTGGGTCTCGCTCTCCTATCTCCGTTACCCTCGGAGATAACAAGACACAACGCTTCTTCGATCAGACGGTCCCCGACCTCCATTTCTCCCTCACACTCCAGCCACCGGATAGTACCCAGGCCCCTCGGCGCTACCCTTCCTCCGCATACTTAGACATGTTGGAGACTGGGTACGATTTTATCCTTGGCACTCCCTGGTCTCGCCGGCTCCGTGGCACAGAGGCCGAATGGGCGACCGAGACACTCGTTCTCATAACGAAGTGTGGTCAGACTCATCGAGTCCCCTTCTTTGG